TTTTATATCTGAGAATTTTATAATGTCGTTGTCTTGGTACAAATGCCCTAGACGGGAGATGTCCCTGTGTTCAAAATGGGCGAAGTGCTTGGGGGTAAGTCCCGGTGGGAATAGCTTGTTCCTCCATATGGGGGTCATAGGAGATAGGAACGATGACAGTTCAAATTTGTCCCTCATTTTGTCCCATGTATCAAGCGCATGGGTGATTGAGGGTGCGGTGGGAGGGGGTAGGGGTCTATGTGGTTTGGGTACCCACATGTACAGGGACGGGTGGTCCCTACCGAAGATGTTGTGTTCCAAGTCCACCCATCTTTTTTCCCCTGGTGGGACGTGCCAGTGTTGTATCTGCGTTAGGTGTGCTGCCGTGTGGTAATGTGTGAAGTGTGGTAGTCCTAGTCCACCGTGTTTCTTGGGTACGTATAGTGTGTTTCGGCGTATTCTGGGTTTGTGTCCATTCCAGATGAATGTGTCAATGGCTGTTTGTAGTGCCTTAAAGTCTTGTTTATGGATCGGTATGGGGAGAGTTTGATATAGATATAAGAATCTGGGTAGGAGATTCATTTTAATTGTAGCGATGCGCCCCAGCCATGAGACCCCTAGTGATTTCCATTTAGTGAGGTCAGAGTGGGCTTTTTGTAATAAGGGGGTGTAGTTTGTTTTATAAAGAGTGGTAATGTTTGTTGGGAGTTGGATCCCTAGGTACGTCATCATCGTGTGGCAGATCCTCATCGGGCATATTTGTTTGAGTGTAGCTATGTTTGGAGCATCTATTTGTATTGGGAGGAGCTCTGATTTATTCAGGTTGATCTTGTATCCTGACAAGTCTGAGTATTCTTGTATGAGAGTTAGGAGCGAGTTTATGGATTTTTCCGGGTTTGTCAGTGTTAGCAGGATGTCATCCGCGTAGGCTGAGATTTTAAAGGTTTCTCCCCTGATCGTTAGCCCCTCTATGTCATGGCTGGCACGCACCGCTTGCAGCAAAGGCTCCAGTGATATGGCGAATAATAGAGGGGATAAAGGGCACCCCTGTCTCGTGCCGTTTGAGATGGGGAATCGTGGTGGGGGGATGTTAGGTAGAAGAAGTGCCCCTTGGGGAGAGTGATAGATGGCCTGCACAAATGAAGTAAACTCGGGTGGTATCCCTATGTATTGTAGTGTATGGTAGAGGAACGGCCAGAGCAAGCGATCAAACGCTTTTTCCGCGTCCAGTGAGATGATCGCTGTGGGGATTCGTCTGTGGTTAGCCAGCCATATGAGGTCAATGGCTCTCCGGGTGTTGTCCGCAGCGTGTCTGTGTGGGATGAATCCCACTTGATCTGGGTGTATGAGGGCTCTTAGGTATGGGTTTAGGCGGTTGGCCATAATTTTGGTCATGATTTTAAGGTCCACGTTGAGTAAGGAGATTGGTCTGTAGTGTGCGGGTTCAGAGTGGTCTTTGCCGGGTTTTGGGAGGAGGCAGATGTTTGCCCCGGTCATTTCTGGTGGGAGGTTCTCTCCCTTGAGTGCTGCGTTAAAGACCGCGCATAGATGTGTGAGGAGTAATGGGCCAAATTCCTTGTAATATAGGGCTGTGTAGCCGTCTGGTCCTGGACTTTTATTTGGTTTGAGGGATCCCACTGCAATGGCCATTTCTTCTGTCGTGGCGTCTTGGCTCAGGGCTGCTTGGGCCTCTTGCGTTAGGGTGGGTAGCGTCGTGCTTTGTAGGAATGTGTCTATGCGTGTGGACAGCGATGGGTTGGTGTCATGGGGTCGGTGGTCGTGGTTGTAGAGGTCTGTGTAATAGTCCTGGAAGACTTTTCCTATGCTAGTTGAGCAGTCTGTGAGGGTACCATCGTTCATTCGTATCTGTGTAATGCGTTTAGCTTCAGTTCGCTTTTTAAGTCTGCGGGCAAGCATAGTGTCCGCCTTGTTGCCCTTTTCATAATATTTTTGTTTGAGCCACATCAGAGCTTTGGCTGTGTCTGTTTGTGTGAGAGTATTAAGGAGGCTTCTGGTCACCGTAAGTTTGGACAGGGTGGTCGGGTTAGGGTTCTTTTTGTGTTCCGTTTCTAGGCGGCGGAGTTCTGTCATTGTTTCTAGTATTTGTCGTTGTGTTTGTCTTTTTTTATGGGTGGCTAGGCTGATGAGTGTGCCTCTGATGACTGCTTTATGTGCTGTCCAGAGGGTCATAGGTGAGGTCGTTGTGGGTGAGTTTAAGTCGAAATAATCTTTGATTGCTATAGTTATTTTGTCTCTGATCAGTTGATCGTGGAGGAGTAGTGGGTTAAGTCGCCATGACCAGTGTGTGTGTATGGTCGGTAGGTTTAGAGTGATTGCTATCTCGGCGTGGTCGGACCAGGAGATAGGTCCAATCTCCGATTTGGTGATTTGAGATAGTAAGTTTGGTGAAATGAGAAAGTGGTCAATGCGTGAATAGGATCCGTGTGGGTGGGAGTAGAAAGTGTAGTCTTTGGTGGTCGGGTGTTGTGCCCTCCATATGTCAATCAGTTTGTGGGAAGCCAGGAATTGGGCGAAGAGGACGTCATTTTGGTTTGGGCGAGTTCGCGTTTTGGCGCTTGAGGTCCGATCTACGGCAGGTATGTGTGCTGCATTGCAGTCCCCGCCCACTATAAGTCGTGTGGCTGAGTACGTGCTGAGGTGGGTCGCTAATTGTTGCCAGAAGGGTGGGTCTGGTGTTGTGGGTGCGTAGAGCGATGAGAAGGCGTATTGTGATGTGCCTATTTTTCCCCGTATTGTGATATATCTACCCTGTGGGTCTTTAGAGCAGGTGATATCTGTGAGGGGGCTGTTTGCTCTCAATAGGATCGCTACACCTTTGGTCTTGGTATCTGGGAAGGGAGCATGGAAGCTCTGTGTGTAGTATCTGTTAGTGAGGGGGAATATGCGGTTGATTGTGAAGTGGGTTTCCTGTATGAGGACTATGTCAGCGTGTTGTTTATGTGCCCAGCGTAATATGCCATGCCTCTTGTTGGGGGAGTTCAATCCTTTGGCATTAATGGAGATGCATCTTATTTGTGTAGGCATGGTGTCTGTGGGAGTGTGGCGGTCTCTGCGGGTTTGCAGTGATGGGTTGTCTTGAGTTGCGCGTCCGGGTGGCCGCGGGCCGCGAAGGGTGGGGGGGGGGAGGGCGGGAGGGCTTAGGGTGTCAGCCTGGGTGAAGGTAGTGGGTGGGGGATATGGGTAGAGTGTGCTACTGGGCTTATCCGAAGGCCAGTAGGTAGTGGGGCGAAGCGTCCGACCGCTCCGTGAGTTTCCCCGTGAGTTCGGGTAGGTGTGTGTGTGTCGGGGGTTGGCGACCGTCCGGTCAAGGCCGTCCAGAGGCAGTTTTCAGTAGTCATCCGCTTAACTGTGTGTGCTGTGGTCGGTCATCGTTGTGGGGGCGTTGCGTCCGTGGAGTGAGCTCTCTGCGTATCGTGTCTTGTGTGTGCAGGGTCGTACCTTGTGAGCCCGTGGGGCGTTGGTCTGGTCAGTAGTGGATCTAGTATTGGTGCGGTGGTGAGGGTGTGCTGTCACCGTCTAGTCGTAAGATGTCGGCATGGTGCCGTCTGCTGTGAGTGGCGTCCGTCAGCACGTGAGGAGGGGTGGGGTGTGTCGGTTAGCTGAAAAATATTGAGTAACAGTTTTACATTGTAACACAACAGTTTAACATCAACTTCAATTTAGTTATATACATTTCCTCTACTGTAGTGTCTAGAGGTTCCCGTGGTGCGTGTCTTCCCCTATGGTGTCTCTCTGTGGGGGTCCTAGGGGGTGCCCGGGTTGGGGGGCGAAAGGAATGGGGGGTTGGGTTGTAGCTATACTTTCCTGGTCCCTTGGTGCCTGGTGCCTTGCCTTTGCAAGTCTTGTGGGTTAGTGTGAGACCCTCCCTGTGTTGGTCCGATCTTATCCTTGGTGGTGCCCCGGTTTGCAATGGGTCCTAGGGGTTGTATGCGTTCAGGGTGTGCCTGTCTAAGTCCCTCTTTTCCCAGGGCTTGCCGTTTGCGCTTAGTCTTTCTGGTGCTTTTGGTGTCGTCACCAGTTTTCTATGTGGAGGGTGTGCCCGCCTCTCCTGGGTCCCAGTGTGTCTAGTGCGGGAGCAGAGTACTGTCCAGGATACTGCTTTATTGAGTCTCCTGGGGAAGTGTTTACGCTCAAGGGAGCTAGCGGTGTTTTGAGGTGTGTACCTAAGAGGTGTCTATCATTAGGCGCATGCTATGTCCCTTGTTGGGGGGTGCCCCAGCCATCCCACCCCGCTCAAGGTGTACCTCCCTGTGGGTATCTGCTCTGTTTTGGTGCTAGGTCGTGGTGTTGTGTGCTGTGGCATCCAGGATACCTGTGTGGTGGGTGAATGTGAGCAGCTGTTCCGCTTTGCACCCTGGGTGGCAGTGGTCTGTGACTACATCGGCTGGTGCCGAGAAGGGTACTAGTGCGTGCCGGCTATATTCCTGCATCTATGATTTCTATCTATTGAAGGATACCCCGTAACTAAGTAGTGAGCTAGAGACATATAATTGCTGTCTATCGAATGAGTCCTAGTAACCAAACAGAGAGCAGGTAACAGGATATAAAGCAAGGAGAGAGTTTGTGAATTATATCTTATCTGGAGCTTGGAGTTGTCAGCGGTGTAGGCTGTTTCCAGTCCATTATTGGGGTGTGGGGTTGCCAGTGTTCTTTAGTGCCAAAGTCAGTCCAGGTTCCGTGTTCAGGTGTGTTTTCTGCTATGGTGACCATGACCCTCTTGAGAATAGTCCGTGTCGGTACGTATTTCTTATTTCGTATGTTGGTCTTCTGTTGATGCGTCGAGTAGTGGGTGGATGCCGGTCCGTTTAGTTGTCGGCCCTGATGCGTGGGCTATTCGGTATCTGGCGTGTCGGGGCTAGCGGTGGTGCATTTCTGGGCGGAGGGCCCCTGTCGTGTCTTCTGGGATTCGGATCCGTGGTGAGGGTTGTGGGGTCTAGGCCGAGGCTCTCTGCGAAATCCGCCATTTCCGCGATGTTGTATAGAGTGTAGGTGCGGTTGTTCTTCCGGACCTGCAGCTTAAATGGGTGTCCCCATGAGTAGCGGATATGTTGCCTCGTAAGCTCCTGAGTGAGGGGCCGCAGCTCCTTCCTTTTGCGCAGGGTGCTCGGGGCCAGGTCCTGGTAGAAGGAGATTTGGTGACCTTCTATTTGTAGTGGGGTGTTTCGTGCCGCTTGCATGAGTGCCTCTTTAATGTGGAAATAGTGCACTCTTATGATGACGTCCCTGGGTTGGGTTGCATTGGGCATGGGTGTTCGGAGAGCCCTGTGCGCTCTATCTAGTAGGAGTTCCGCCGGTGAAGCCTCTGGGAGCAGGCCACAAAAGAGCTCTCGTAGCGTTGGGCCCAGTGCCTCTATTGTGATCGTTTCTGGGATTCCACGTATCCTTACGTTATTTCGGCGGGACCGGTTGTTCAGGTCCTCTTGTGCCTCCTCTAGTTGGCGGAGCTGTTCTTGTAGGGCGGTTATGGCATTTTCAGTTGCTGTTGTGCGTGTAACTGTCAGGTCCAGTTGTTCCTCAATAGTGGAGGTTCTGTGGGTTAAGTCAATCAGGCCTTCTCTGATGGGTGTGAGATGCCTGTCAAATTCTGTAGCCATATTTGCCTTGATTTCATTTAGTAGCTGGCGGAGGTCATCTTTGGTGAGGGGGGTAGCCGTCATTGTTCTGCTCCTATCACTGGCTGCAGAGTCAGAGTCATATTCGCGGCCTTCTTCTTCCTCCCGCGTGGCGCCGCCATCTTTGCGGCTCCGGAATATCGGAGCTACTTCTGCTCCCTGCTTCGGTTTCCGCCCGCCCCCCATCGCTATTTAGTGCGGTACCGTGTGTGAGATACGAGGTGACCGGGTGGGTGTGAGCAAGCCGGTTGCGGGTGCTAAAGATCGCCGGGTCTGTGCCTCCGAGGACGGAGCTCCCTCAGAATGCCGCCATTCGCGCCGGAAGTCAGGCGCCGCCCCCTTGTTTTGTTTTTGAATGTCAGAAATGTATATTTGTGAATGTTGAGATGTTATATTGGTTTCACTGGTAATAATAAATAATTGAAATGGGTATATATTTGTTTTTTGTTAAGTTGCCTAATAATTATGCACAGTAATAGTCACCTGCACACACAGATATCCCCCTAACATAGCTATAACTAAAACAAACTAAAAACTACTTCCAAAAATATTCAGCTTTGATATTAATGAGTTTTTTGGGTTCATTGAGAACATGGTTGTTGTTCAATAATAAAATTAATCCTCAAAAATACAACTTGCCTAATAATTCTGCACTCCCTGTATTCCTAATGCTATAGTGCTGGTCTACGTGTTTTCGGTTACCCTACACACAGGCACACACACACCTTTACTCCTACGCTGCACTTCTTGCTCCCTGGCTAGCCCTGTATAGTAAAGCATTGTGAGGCTAGTGAGCATGCACAGCAAATCGCAGCACTGCGCCAATCAAATGGTCTCTACGTGACAATCTGATTGAAAGAGGCGAGTTTTACTCGGCTATTTCAGTGGAAGCGCCTCTAGTGGCTGTAAACATTTCTGTTCCTGTAAAATGCCAATGTTTTACAATGCCGGGTTAAAACCACAGGGGCAAGCACCACAACCACTTCATTGAGATGTCTGGGTTCCTATAGTATACCTTTAAATACTCGTTTGTTTGTTTTTTACAAAAGCACACATATTCTATCTAAATTCATTCCTCAGAAAGATCGACTGATGATTGGTAATGAATATTAAACAATGATCTTTCTCTAGAATTTCCACCTTTTTTAGAGCTATCCCTGGTGGTACTCATTACATTTTCTCTAAAGGTCCATAATGATTAACGCAAAATGATTTCTCTCTGTAATTAAAATGATGAGCTCTCAAAGCTTAATCGATGAACATCTCTGCTTATCTCGAAGGGTTACTGATCCAGTATTTCGTTTTATTCATGGAATTCTTCCGAACATTCATGATTTGTGAACATTTAAAAGGGGTTTTGTTTTTTTATTTCTGTAGCCAGTATATGTCATTCGAACCTTGCACAATCTATTCTCAGCACGCAGCTCTCGGAAAGATCTGCACAATTTTATTTTTAGCTCAGCAAAAGACCATAGATCTTGGAAGTCACCTCGAGTGATGAGAACACGTCCGTATCAATGATTTGCCTTTTATTCCTTGCATAGCGGATCGCACTGTTGGCATTTTACTCACTATTCTC